GGTAAAAATTGTTAATTTAATTATTTATTCTATATTATTTATAATTTAACTATTTTTTAAAATAATAAAAATTTTTTCATTATTAATAATTCACAATAATACTAAAAATTATTAATTAATAATAATTTATTTTTTTGCCTTAAACATGGAATTTCAATTTAAGTGTGAAAAACAATTAAGAGTTTTTAAGAGTTATAAATGTCAAAAATAATATGTTAATATTATAACCACAAAAAAATTTAACATTTTAGGCAATATTTTTGGTTATCACCATGATAACATCGACAAATGGTTCACCTTCGACAATTGGTGCGTTTGTCCTATTGTTTTAAATTAAAGGAGAATAAATTCTTAAGACATCCCTCGAGGACAATTTTTGAGTTTTTAATTGTTTATAATTTTTATTTTCAAATTTCAATCAAAGTTAACAAATTAACACAATTTTTTAAAAACGGACGTTTATTTTCTTATTCCGTTACTGCACATGCTCTAAATCAGTTCAAATTAATCCAATATTACCAGCAGACAATTAAAAACCCATAAAGTAATATATTTCAATTGTCATAAACAACATTAATTAACAAATAGTTAACTTATGATCCTGTCCAACAGAAAATTTTTGTTGCAAATTTTCTTTTTTACTTAGGTTCTTTTAAAGAATATATGTCTTTTTTGCTTATAATATAACTTATTTAAATATTTAATATTATATATCCGTGGTCTTTTAACATTATCTAAATAAAAAAGTAAACGTGAAAAAAAAATTTTTGGTGGAAAGGAACAAAAATTAACTATTTGTTAATTAATATTATTTGTAACCATTTAAATAAGTTATTTTTTAAACAAAAAGGACACATATTTTTAAAATGAACTTAAATTAAAAAGTAGACGTGAAAAAAAATTTTTTTGGTGGACAGGAGCATAAGTTACATAACTATTTGTTATTTAATATATTGTTTATAACAATTTAAATAAGTTATTTTTTAATCAAAAAGGACAAATATTCTTTAAATAGACTTAAATTAAAAAGAAAATGTGAAAAAAAAAAATTTTTAGTGGAATAGGAATCAATGTTAACTATTTGTTAATTAATATTGTTTATAACAATTTAAATAAGTTATTTTATAATCAAAAAGGGCAAATATTCTTTAAATGAACTTAAATTAAAAAGAAAAGGTAAAAAAAACATTTTTTAGTGGAAAGAAATCAAAGTTAACTATTTGTTAATTAATATTGTTTATAACAATTGATATAAATTACTTTCTGTTTTATTAATTATATGGTGGTCATATTGTATTAATTTGAACTGATTCAGATCATATGCAGCAACGGAATAAGAAAATAAGCCTCCTTTTTTGAAAAATTGTATTAATTTGTTAACTTTGATTGAAAATAAAAATTATAAACAATTAAGAACTAAAAAATTGACCTTAAGGGATGTCTTAAGAATTTATTTGCCTTTAATTTAAAATAAAGAATACTGAAACCGGTTTCAGTATTCTTTATTTTAAATTAAAGGCAAATAAATTCTTAAGACATCCCTTAAGGTCAATTTTTTAGTTCTTAATTGTTTATAATTTTTATTTTCAATCAAAGTTAACAAATTAATACAATTTTTCAAAAAAGGAGGCTTATTTTCTTATTCCGTTGCTGCATATGATCTGAATCAGTTCAAATTAATACAATATGACCACCACACAATTAATAAAACAGAAAGTAATTTATATCAATTGTTATAAACAGTATTAATTAACAAATAGTTAACTTTGATTTCTTTCCACTAAAAAATGTTTTTTTCACCTTTTCTTTTTAATTTAAGTTCATTTAAAGAATATTTGTCCTTTTTGATTATAAAATAACTTATTTAAATTGTTATAAACAATATTAATTAACAAATAGTTAACATTGATTCCTATTCCACTAAAAATTTTTTTTCACATTTTCTTTTTAATTTAAGTCTATTTAAAGAATATTTGTCCTTTTTGATTAAAAAATAACTTATTTAAATTGTTATAAACAATATATTAAATAATAAATAGTTATGTAACTTACGTTCCTGTCCACCAAAAAAATTTTTTTCACATCTACTTTTTAATTTAAGTTCATTTTAAAAATATGTGTCCTTTTTGTTTAAAAAATAACTTATTTAAATGGTTACAAATAATATTAATTAACAAATAGTTAATTTTTGTTCCTTTCCACCAAAAATTTTTTTTTCACGTTTACTTTTTTATTTGGATAATGTTAAAAGACCACGGATATATAATATTAAATATTTAAATAAGTTATATTATAAGAAAAAAGACATATTAATATTTTTTATTGGAGAGGAATCAAAGTTAACTATTTGTTAATTAATGTTGTTTATGACAATTGAAATATATTACTTTATAGGTTTTTAATTGTCTGCTGGTAATATTGGATTAATTTGAACTGATTTAGAGCATGTGCAGTAACGGAATAAGAAAATAAACGTCCGTTTTTAAAAAATTGTGTTAATTTGTTAACTTTGATTGAAATTTGAAAATAAAAATTATAAACAATTAAAAACTCAAAAATTGGCCTCGAGGGATGTCTTAGGAATTTATTCTCCTTTAATTTAAAACAATAGGACAAACGCACCAATTATTTTTCACACTTAAATTGAAATTCCATGTTTAAGGCAAAAAAATAAATTATTATTAATTAATAATTTTTAGTATTATTGTGAATTATTAATAATAAAAATTTTTTTATTATTTTAAAAAATAGTTAAATTATAAATAATAGAGAATAAATAATTAAATTAATAATTTTTACCATATTATTATGATAAACATATTAATTTATATATATATATATAACATACATTTTTAATAATTTTTCTATAAATAAATATGATACAGTCAATTTATTATGATAATACTGTATATAACGGTCCCATGATTCAAAAGGAAGTTTAAGCGAGGTCGCTTCCAAGCTTGCGTGGCTTTGCGGTATGTGTATTTGACTTGCGTCCTCGAGGTCTAGGGTTCGATCCCCCGTGCGTGCGATATTTTTCCGTCTTAGTTTTAAGTGTTTTGTGTATAATTCTTAATAATGTTACATAAAGTATAGGTTTAAATAATTATTAACAATAATAATAATAAATTAGGCATTAATTTAAATAAGATAGTCTGTCTAAATTAATGAAAGAAAATAAGAAAAATATTTTTTTTAAAAACTTAGTTCAATAAAAGCAATTCTAATAATTATTTACATTTTTAATGACATTCATAAAAGTTTATTTACTACAAAAATAATAATAATTATTAATATTGAAGTAAATACTCCCCATGCTTTAATAATCAAATAACGAGCTTTAATATAATAAAATGCAGTCAGTATTGGATTTCTACCTGGGTAGCGAAAAGATCGGGGGAAATCCCATGGCCCCGACCGGGTCCCGACAGGGCGGACAGATCGGGCAAAGTGCCATGGCCCCGGTCGGTTTTAGTGTTTCAACCAGACCGGGGCCAGGTCGGGTTGCCAGATCGGGGCCCGGTTTGTCCCGATCTGGCCCCGATCTGGCCCCGGTCAAAATTTCTGCACGGGTACGTATTATTCAACGATTTTTATAGTAGAATTGTATGCTTCCATGTCGACGTCTGATATGAATATAACACAAAAACATTTCAAACAGCTTTCTGAATATTGTTCGATAATTACAGTTATCTCTAAAATAATTAGTTTCCTTGTAAAATCAAACGCTTATTAGAAGGTAAAAACTTCTCTAAAAGTGGCTCATTGAAATATTAATTCTTAGATAATTTTACTTTGCATTCGCTTCCAGGAACATATTACATTAATACCCTACATAGTAATTAAGACCTTTATTAATAATAAATATATTTGTGAAAGGAGAAAATCAATTTTCCCTATGACAAAAACATACTTAGTCTGCATTCAACCCTTCAAGGAAGAGGATCGTCTTGAGTTGAAGAAGAAAATCAATTTTCTCATGCAATATAGAAAAGTAGTCTTACTTTCGTCTTTTAAATGTAAAGATATACATAGTTTAGAATTAACAGTTCGTCTATATTAATCAGATATGTCCCAATTTTTGTCTGAATTTGTTATCTTGTCTTTGCCTCTTGGCAGAATGAGTTTATTAAAAAAAATAATTATCGTTCTACATAATGATCAGTCCCTGGAATCTTAGCTTTCTATTGATTCCATAAATAATGAAAATTATTATTAGATTTTCGAAAAAATTGAGGATTTTTAATACCTCGAATAATTAGGTTCCATTTGATATAGTCAAAATGAGCAGCTGATAAAAAGAAATTAGTTTTCTTTGAAAGACATATATGGTTCGCGTCATATCCGTTGTTTGTTTCGAAGCATAGAGAAGACAGTTTTAAATAGTGAATTATGTTGTTAAATTTACACGAATTTGAATTTTACGACATGGATTCATCATAGCCGAAAGTAAGTAAATTTACTTTATATTATGAAATTAAAATTAAATTCTCTAACTTATTTATACATTGGTTTATGATTTAACAAATAGTGACTAATTAAAATTTATTTTCCAGAATTTTTCTTAGTAAAATAAAACAATTTGTTTGCTAAAAAGTTATAGCTAATGAGATACAGTTTCAGGTGGTGTCGACACGAACATTAAATTAAAACGCACACGATGCGCGCGCAACTATTTTCAGATGAGACATTATTTTAGTTTTACTAAATAATTAATTAAGAGCAATAATATAATTTTTAAGTAATTATTTATTATATTTGATTATTTTCTAATTTTCTGCTTGGCGAACGAGATACAGGAGATAGAAAAGGACATACATATATATATATATATATATATATCTGTCCTTTTCTAACTCATGATTTACGTTCGCAAAGCAGTTGTGCACTTGTCATAGTCTTTGAGGTTGAGTTCGTTCACAATAGACAAATATATCTTGCGCAATGGATTTGGCCTAATTTAGAATGTGAACATGTAAACTCAGCCTTAGAATGGAAGCATGTGAACTCAGCGTCATGTTTGCATTTGCGAATTTATTGAAGAGTTTTTAAAGGTTAGAAAAGAATAGAAGGAAATTATATTATAATTCACGAATATTTATTATTAATCATCGTCTATTTCTTCTAAAATACAAAGGTAAGATACAAAAAAATTAGTTTTTGCCTCCATTTCACATTTACAATTCTTTTCTTTATTATTAAGTGAATGCTTAATTTTTACTACTTATATGAAAATCTATATTAATTATAATAATAGAATAAAATTCTATATTCAAGAATTCAATTATTTTCAGAGATAATTAAACTGTCGATTTACTGAAAATCATTCAATTCTTATTGTAATGTATTGGGAAAAAAATTTGAAAATAATTACATTCATTTCGAGAATTTTATCAAATTTTTTTTTTTAATAATTGAATTCTTTCGAGAAAATGTAATTAAAATTTGATTGAAAATAATTAAATTCTTAACAAAGACTTTTATTAAAATTCTTTAAAATAATTGAATATTGTTTTAAAGAATTTATTTCAAAATAACGTGAAAATAATGGATTTTTTTTTAAAATAATTTTTACTGAAAAATTTCAAAGTATAATTGAATTTTATGAATATTTTTCTTTTAAGTTTTTTAAATAATCGTGTTTATTATTAATTGTAATTAATAATTGGCCTATTAAATTATATTAAAATTATTCATAGAAAATTAAATTCTTTTAAACAATTTTATAATTGAGTTTTTTGTAAATAATTAAAATTTTCTTTTAAGAATTTCATGAAATTTCGTTAAAAAAAATAATGCAAATTTTTTTAAATAATAAATTTTAATTGAAAATTTTGAAAATAATTAAATTTTTATTAAAATTTTTTATTTTTTTGAAAATAATTGTAAATTTAAAATTTTTTTAAAAATAATTTTGTATTCTTTCGAGAAATTTTATGAAAATTGTTGAAAGTAATTGAATTTTGACTAAAATTCTTTGAAAATAATTGAATTTAAAATTATATTTTTAAAAATAATTTAAATAATTTCATTATTTATGAGAATAATTGAATTCCTTAAAAAAATGTTAAGTATTTATAAAAATAATTGAATTGCTTCGAAGGATTTTATCTGAATTTTTGAAAATAATTTAATTTTTTGAAGGAATTTTATTACCAATTTTGAAAATAATTGAATCATTTCGAAGAATTTTATATCAGAATTGTTTGAAAATAATTGAATTTTTATTAAAACTCTTAAAAATAATTGAATTTAAATTATATTTTTAAAAATAATTGTATTCTTTCGAGAAATTTTCTTAAAAATTGTTAATTGAAAATAATTGAATTTCTAACAAGAATTTTATTATTTACAAAAATAATTGAATTCTTGCCAAGAATTTTACAATTTATAAAAATAAATTGAATTATTTCGAAGTATTATTGAAAATAATTGAATTTTTTGAAGGAATTTTATTAAAAATTTGGAAAATAATTGAATTATTTCGAAGAATTTTATCAGAGTTGTTGAAAATAATTAAATAATTGAATTTTTTTTTAAACTCTTGAAAATAATTGAATTTAAATTATATTTTTAAAAATAATTGTATTCTTTTGAGAAATTTTATTAAAAATTGGATTGAAAATAATTGAATTCCATCGAAACATTTTATTATTTTTTAAAAATAATTGAATTGTTTCGAAGGATTTTATCTGAATTTTTGAAAATAGTTGAATTTTTATTAAAATTCTTGAAAATAATTGAATTTAAAAAAAAAAAATTTTTTTCTTTCGAGAAATATGAAAATTGTTGAAATTCATTGAATTTTTATTAAAATTCTTTGAAAATAATTGAATTTCAAATTATATTTTTAAAAATAATTATATTCTTTCGAGAAATTTTATCAAAATTCTTTGAAAATAATTGAATTTCAAATTATATTTTTAAAAATAATTCTATTCTATCGAGAAATTTAATTAAAAATTGGATTGAAAATAATTTAATTCCTTCGAAATATTTCATTATTTATGAAAATAATTGAATTCCTTCGAAAAAATTTTAAGTATTTATAAAAATAATTGAATTGTTTCGAAGGATATTTTATCTGAATTTTTGAAAATAATTTAATTTTTTGAAGGAATTTTATTACCAATTTTGAAAATAATTGAATCATTTCGAAGAATTTTATTAGAATTGTTGAAAATAATATTCAAAGTGCGCTGTAAAAAATTGTATTATTCATATGAAAATAATGAAATTCTTGCGACAAATTTTATTAAATTTAAAACTTTAAAATTCATTATTTATGATTCACTTTAATAATAAGATTTATAATCCATTTTAGTAGACTAAAATATATTTTTTTTTTCATTTCAGCTATCAACAGCCATTGAGAAGAGAGAATTTAAAAAAAAAATGGATTTAAATTTTTTTCCCAACGATTGTAACGTTTGTAAAAAAACGACAGATTTAAAGAGATGCAGTCGTTGTCATATGATATCATACTGTGGTACAGAACATCAAAAAAATAATTGGCACATACACAAGAAAATTTGTAGAATAATTTCCGAAATAACAAGAGAAAAAGGACTCACTCATCTCTACGAAAATATGCGAAATTGCAGTCCATCGATATGGACACAGGCAAGAAAGGCAATGATTGAACAAATTTCTTCTCTAATGGGTCGAGAATTGAAATACTTTGAATTGGAAATGTTACGTTATCCTCGAGCATGTTACATTTGCTATGACACTAGACAGGAGAATTTAATAAATTGTCCAAAATGTCCCCTGGTGTCTTTTTGCCATGAACATTCAAATTCGACAATTCATGACGTAATTTGTGCGGACATTAAAAGTTGTCACACTTTGGAGAATAAAAAACAAGATGAAGCTACGAAAATGATGCGTTCTTGTACATTTAACTTTCCTTCGATTTTTAAAACTTTACCATTGTCCACAGAGGAATATTTGGATAAATCTTTGGAATGTCAAAAAAAATTAAATCCATTGTTAAAAATTCAAGCCTCGACGATTGTTTATAAACCTTTGACGATTTTTGGAATTCTTTTAAAATTGAACAAGATTTCTTCAACGAATTTAACGATTTTCATCCACGCGGATGAGTCCGTGTCGGAAATGTTGGATTTTTGTGAAATTCTACTTCATCTAATGCCGAATTTAAAAAATCTCCGAGTAATAACGGATGGGATGGTGCAACTTTCAATTTCCGGCGAGAGGAATGTTTGTAAATTTTGCAAAGCAAAAGGAAAATGTTATCAAGTAATGCATGTCTGTTTTATGAACAAGGCTATCATTGAATCGGTTGTTGTTGCCGTTTTTATGGATTTAAAACCAAAGGAACAATTGACTATGGATGATCCAACTTATTTTCATCTATGTCATTTTAGTAGTGAAAATTGTCCTGTGGCTTTCACTGCAAACAATGAAATAGGAATGAGACGATTGAAAAATTGTTATCGTAAATTTTGTCCGAAACACACGATTTCATATGAAGGTGACAATGATTTTTGTTCGATGTACGTCGAGAGATTTTGGGAGAATTGGAGTATTAAGAAGAATTCTGAACATTTGCTAATTGCCACATGTTCAACATCTACGGAAAATACAAAAAGTGAGCAAATATCGAAGAAAAGCAATAATCCCATTGATCGAAAGAAGAGTGTGGAAACATTTTTACCTGGAATTTGTCAAGTTTGTAAGAGTCCAGCGATGGAAGTTTGTACACGATGTAAAATGATTTTTTACTGTGGAAAAAAGCATATGAAGCGAAATCAATTGGAGCACAAGGATATTTGTAAAGTAATACTGGGACTTTTGAATGAAAAAGGAACTCCTCATCTTTTTGATAATGTCGATGTTAGTGACGAGAAATCGTGGTTTGAGGCGAAATTGAATTTTTTAAAAATTGCAAAATCGAAATTGAATAGAGAATTATGGAATTTTGAGAAGGAAATATTTCTCTTTCCAAAGACTTGCTTCGTTTGTCACGATAGCGATTTGAGCGTTCTCAAAACTTGTGAATGCTGTGTAAGTATTTTATTTTATTTTATTTGATCTAAATTCCAAATTTTTCCCATCATTTTTATAGATCAGGCAACGGGCTAAACATATCGAACGATAATGGAAAATTTGGAGAATTTAGTTCTACAAATAAATAATATAACTTTTCAACGTTAAAAGAAAATTTATCTTATGCAGAATTTTATAAGCTTTCCAAATCTGCAAGATTCAAGTCTCTATCTTTATTTTTGTCAAAGATATTATGATTTTAGTGGACCTACGAAACAAAATTCAATTATTTTCACAAATAAAATTTCCACATAAATTAAATTATTTTCAATAGCATTTTCAAAAAAAATTTCGAAAAAATCAACTACTTTCACTAATAATAACATTTTTCATAGAATTTCAATTTAAAAAAAAAAAAATTTTCATAAAATTCTAAGCAAGAATTCAATTATTTGCATAAAAAATAAAACTCGTGGAAGAATTTTAATTATTTTTAATACTATTTTAAATTAATTAATCGAGACATTCAATTATTTTCAAAAATAAAAATCTCCACAAGAATTCAATTATTTAAAATAACATTTTCATAATATTTGTTACATTTCGTAAAAATAATTTGTTTAAAACAATGTTTATAAAATTCCTATAAAGAATTCAATTATTTTCAAAAATAACAAAATTAGTCACCAAAATTCAATTTTTTTAAAAAATATTTTAATAACATTTTTCGCAGTAATTCAATTATTTTGATAAATAATAGAATTCATCGCAGGATTTCAATTATATTTAATACAATTTTAATCAAATTTGTCGAAACATGTAATTATTCTTAAAAATTTTCTTAAAATTCGTCAAGAGAATTTAATTATTTAAAAAAATATTTTTTTTTTATTTCTTTGGAAGAATTCAATTATTTACAAAAATAATTCGTCGAAATAATTCAATTATTAATGATAAATAACAAAATTATTCCCGAAAATTCAATTATTTTTTAAGGCATTTTAATAAAATTATTTGTAAAATTCAATTATTTTCATGAATAACAATATTTATTACAAGAATTCAATTATTTTTAAAAGTATATAAATTTTTTCTTGGAAATTCAATTATTTAAGAAAATTCTAATAAAATCGTTCGCAAGAATTCAATTATATTCATAAATAATAAAATGCTTTTTAGGAATTCAATTATTTTCAAGATTTTTAATAAAAATTCAATTATTTTCAAACAACTCTGATAAAAAATTTTTCGAAACAATGTAATTATTTTTATAAATACTTAATAAAATTTTTCGAAGGAATTCAATTATTTTCGTAAATAATGAAATGTTCCGGAGGAATTCAATTATTTTCAATTCAATTTTTAATAAAATTTCTCAAAATAATACAATTATTTTTAAAAACATAATTTTAAATTCAATTATTACCAAGAATTTTAATAAAAATTCAATTATTTTCAACAATTTTGATAAAATTTCTTGAAAGAATACAATTATTTTAAAAAACATAATTTTAAATTCAATTATTTTCAACAATTTTGATAAAATTCTTTGAAACAATTTAATTATTTTTATAAATTGTAAAATCCTCCGCAAGAATTCAATTATTTTCATAAATAATAAACTGTTTCGGAGGAATTCAAATATTTTTAATACAATTTTAAAAAAATCTCTCGAAAGAATACAATTATTATAGTGAAAAATATTATTTAAATTCAATTATTTTCAAGAGTTTTAATAAAAATTCAATTCTTGTCAAGAATTCAATTATTTTTGTAAATAATAAAATTCTTCTAAGAAATTCAATTATTTTGAATAGAAGTTTTTATAAAATTTCTAGGAAATAATTCAATGATAGGTATTCAAGATAATTTCAATAAAATTTCTCTAACAGGTTCAATTATTTTTAAAAATTGTAATAAAATTTTTCTAAATAATTTAATAATTATTCTCGAAAGTTTATTATAAAATTCTTTGTAAATTTCAATTATTTTCAAAATTTTTAATTAAAAGGATTTAAAAAATTTACATTATTTTTTACGAAATTTCATGAAATTCTTAAAAAAAAGTATTTATTTACAAAAATTCTAATAAAATTATTTAAAAGAATTCAATTGTTTATGAATAATTTTAATATAATTTAATATATTTTACATTAAATAAATAAATATTTCAATTTAATTTTCAAATTTTTTTTTTATAAATACTTTACAAGAATTCAATGATTTTCAGTACATTGAAAATTTAATTCTTTCTGAAAATAATTGGATTCTTCAGAATCCCTGCGAGAAAATTTATTATTTGTACAAATAATTGAATTTTTGCAAAATTTCAAAAAAAAAAAAAAAAACAAGTGCATTTTTGAGAAGAATTTTATTCAAATTTTATTTAAAATAATTGAATTCCTGTTAAAAATTTACTATTCAATATTATAGTTAATTCTTTTAAAGAATTTAAAAAGAAAATAATTTAATTTTCCCTGGAATTCAATTAAAATTGTATTTAAAATAATTGAATTCCAGCGAAAATTTCATTATTTATGAAAATAATTGAATTCTTTAATTTAATTTTATTAAAATTTTTTTAAATATAATTGAACTCCTGTGGAAAATTTAATTATTTTTTAATAATAATTAAATTTTCTCGAATAATTTTTACAAGATTTTTGAAAATAATAGAAATTTTTCCAAGAAATCAATTAAAATTGTATTGAAAATAAGTGAAAGTGTAATAAGAAAATGGTTATTTTGTCAAAAATTTAAATATTTTTTAAAAACTTTTCGCAATTCAATGATTTTCAATGTCTACTATATTTTTGTAAAATTTCCAAACGGAATTCAATTATTTAAAAAATTTTTTTGTAAAAATCTTCGTAAGAATTCTTTTCTTTATAAATATTTAAATTCTTTCGCATGAAAAATAAAATTCGTTGTATAAATTGAATTTATTAGCAGGATAAGAAAGAAGTGAATAAATAATATTTTTGATGAAAATTAGGAAAATGTCAGGAAAATAAAATATAGACTGAAATTTTTGTCAGATTTTGTGAATAATTTAATATTTATTGAAAATTTTACTATTAAATTTAAAGTAAATTAAAAGAATTATTTAAAATTAAATGATTGATTTCAAAATTATTCGATAAATAAGAAATTGAATAATGTGATATTTTGCAATTAACTAAAAAAAAAAATAATAATTGAGAATAAATTTTATTTTTCCCCAGGTGAGCCTGTGTAAAATTCACAGAGACGACGAGGAGCATAAAAATCTCTGCAAAGATTTTCTCTTCAATCTAAAATGGGGAAGAAGTAAAGATGATTTTCAAAAGATGGCTGATATAACAGCGTTCGCTTCGAAAAAAGATTACAAGCAACAACTTTCAATGGAGAAATTTATAGATTCATTTTTTCATTTCAAAAATTTACAACAAGAAAATCCAACAGAACTGAATGCGAGGAAAATTATTATTTCCGATTTTTTAAGTCGACCACAAACATTTCTCTACGCTGTTGAAAAATTAAAAATTCCAATTACAAGTTCCCTTCAAGTTCACATAATTGGAGCGATAAATGAGGAAATCGAACATTTTGCCTATTGGCACAGCGTTACATTCTGGTACAAGAATTTAACTGATTTATGCCTTTGTTTCGTTGGTCCAGGAACCATTGATTTAGAACACTTTGAATCGAAGAGTAGATTTAATTTTCTCGACAATACACCAGCGAAAACGAAAATATGTGGCACAATGCTTGTTGATAAGCGTTACGATGATTTTTACAATAGTAAAGATTTCATAAAACCCGATATAATAATTGGTTATAATTTAGATTTGAATGAGAGTAATTTGGGAATGACCGATTGCACATGGAAGGAGACTTTCTCGATTATCAGTGAAATTAATGTTCCATTTTTGATGACGGCCAAGACGGAGGAACGTGGACGAAAGGATCACGAAATGATTTGTTCATTCTTGGGAAAAACGATTGATTATCATCTTTTTGAGAAGAATCCCTACGCGAGTTTAATGCCCGAGAGAAATTACGAGAATGAAAGATTGTGTTATTCGAATAGTTATTTAATTGCTTATATGCAATTTCCAAGAGACTCAGATGCGATGAAAGTGAATTCTTCAAAAAAAAACGAAAATAACGCACAAAAAGTGGAAAATCAAATTTTTGCTGTTAAACCAAATGGCGTTAGTGTGGGAATTGTTAAAAATCCAACAAATTCCGAGTTCGACGAAATTGTTGAATTGAAAAAATTTGCTAAGGAGCAATTTTCGAAAGTGAAAGTTCAAAAATCTCTACTAGAAGAAACGGAAGAAGAACAAATGGAAAGAAAGTAGAAAAAATTGAGGAAAATTTGCAGCTTAAAGACGAAAATAAAATTTTAAACGATAATCTCCGACTTATGAAAGAAAATAATCGCTTGAAGGATAAAAGTACTGAATTCAATTCAAATTACCATTTTGTTTATTAAAAACGATGTATAAGATATATACATCCTATGTTGTGAATTTGTGATTGTTAATACGTTAAGAATGAATTAACAAATTTTTATAGTTAAAAACAAAAAGAATTATTGCTGTAAAAATATTTTTTTTTCCATTGGTTTTATTTTTGACTCATAGAAAACTTTATTATTGAATGTTAATAAAGAATAAATGTTCTATTAAATTTCTTAAATATCAAATACATAGTTATTTGAAATTTCATAATTTCTAAAAATTACATAACCCATCCTGAATTCAATTATTTTCTTTAATTTTGAACTAAACTTCATAAAATCTCTAAATCAATTATTTTAAATAATTTTCTGAAAGTTCTTCGAGAATTAAATTATTTCGATACGAAAATTCAATTTTTCATATTAATTGTAAATGTTTATGTTTTTTTTTTCTTAAGTTTATTAAGGTATAATATTTTCAAAAAAATGAAAATATTCAAATTTTCAAAGAATTTTTATTACAAATATGACCATAATTTCTGGAAAATTTGAATAAGTCGAAAAAAATAAATTTTTATTTGCTTTATACTTAAAAAATTATATAAGAATTAAGTAGTTTTTAAAAATATTTTAATGTTTAATTTTTCGAAAACAAATTGAATTTCTTAAAAAAGTTTTTGTATATTATTTAAAAAAAACTAATCTTAAGTATAATTTTTTAATGAATTTTAATTAAATATTTTGAACATGATTTTTTTCTCCAGAATGTTAAAAAAAATAATTCCAAAATGTCATTATTTTTTTGTATGTATTTGAATTTTTGGGAAATATGTAATTGAAAATACTGAAAATACTGAATTTTAAAATATTAGAAGCTAATTTTCATTTTTAAATTTACGTTTAAAGATTTTTTATTATCATTTTTGAAAATTCAATTATTTTGAAAATTTGCAATTAAAATTCTTCAAAAGTTAATATTTAAAAATTCTAACAAAATATTTGCAAAAAATGAATTATTTTCAATTAAATTTTACTTAATTTTCAATTATATTCAAAATCTTTTTAAATGTATATTTCGAAAATTTAAATAGAAATTTTTCACCACGAGTTGTACCTACATAACGTTTTCCCTAACGCCTTGCGAGGAAATGCATGTTGGATGTTTTTATAATTGTAACTGACAATTTCATTTTTAATAACATTTTATATTTTCATAAGATTTATAATTAAAAAATACAGTGGTCGATAAATGTATTTTCAAAATTTGATATTTGCTACTTAAATTAAATTCAATTGGATACTAAAATAAACACGAAAATAACACAATAAATTATTTGTACAAATAAGTTAGTTATTTAGTTAGTTTAGTTAGTTAATTTAGATAGTTTATTTTGTTAATTAGTTAGTTAGTTAATTAGTCAGATTAGTTAGTTCACTTAGTTTAGTTAGTTTTGTTAGTTAATTTATTAGTTAGTTATAGTTACTTAGTTTACTAAGTTATTTACTCAGTTTAGTTCGTTTAGTTAATTTAGTTTGTTTGTAAGTTAATTTAGTTACTTAGTTCGTTAGTTAGTTTAATTAGTTTAGTTAGTTAGTTATTTAGTCAGATTAGTTAGTTCAGTTAGTTAGTTAGTTTCTTAGTTTCTTTAGCTGGTTAATTTAGTTAGTTTTGTTAGTTAGTTCGTTAGTTTAGTTAGTTAGTAAGTTAGTTAATTAATTGAGTTAGTTCGTTAGTTTCTTATTAGCTAGATAGTTTAGTTAATTTTGTTACTTACACTTAGTAAGTTAGTTAGTTTCTTTAGTTAGTTAGTAAAATTTTATTCCGTTAAAAATAATATCAACATTTTACCCGTAGACTTTACTCATTGAAAAAAAATATAAAATGAAATACATATGTAAGCGAAATTCAGGAACCAATTCTGACAGTCGATGCAAAGAAGCAACAACCCATCTCTGGTTACGGTGCGTGTATTCACATTTCACAATAATGGACTTCAAATGTGTGTGTGAAAAAAATTAAGTATATTAAATGTCAGATTTGTAAACGAAAAAAATATATTAAAATTGTCTTAATAATAATAAAAAGTCGATTTTCTTATAAATACAAAGGTAAGTTACAAATAATGATATATTTTAATTTTGTTTTAAGAGCGCGACTGTTTCAAACATAATATATATACGAAAAGCATGTGCGAATTTGTTTGTTTACAAAATTTCTATAATCAGTCAGCTAACAAAATTATTAAGTAATTGTTTCCTTTTTTCATTTTTTTTTACATTTTTCAATGTAATTTAGAAATGTTTTTCTCGGTTTAGTGTATTATTATTTTTACTTTTTATTATTATACTCAACCTAAAAATGTATAGTATATAACATAACCTTAAAATTAATATTAAAATAATGTTTTTAATTAGATTTTTTAACTGACTCTGTAATTAGTATTTAATTTCAATTTACAATTTTGTAATTTAGGTAGTAATCAGAAAAAGACTTTTTTTGTTTGAATTACCAAAAAATCAAATTATTCTTTTTTTTTAATTTTCTTTTCATAAATAAGTTTTGAAGATATGTTTAAAGATAAAAATATAAGTTGCGCAAAAATTAATTTCCAGAAATACGACCATCAGCAAAATTTTACGACTTATTAATTATATTTCATTAAAAAAACATTGAATCATCTTTTATAAAATCGTTTTATTTTGTCAGGGAATTTTATCAAATGTATACTAATATAAAAATATTCAATTTCTAGAATTTATAAGAAAATTATGAATTTTGTTTGTGCAACGTAACAGACTTAAAAAAATAAAAAAAATAATGAAATTTAATTTTAAATTTTCTTCTGTTTCTAACAATAATTAAACAAAATGTAATTTACTTAAATTCGTCGCGAAAAAATTTCACATCCTGTAAAAAATAGTGAAAAATAAATCAATTAAAAATTTTTTTTTTTTTGCAATAAAATATTATGACACACATCACAAATTTGAATTATTACAAATTTGAACTATATAGAATAAAAGTGATAAGAAATTGATAAAAAATTAATTTTTAAATAATAAATAAAGTAAATAAAAAATTAATAAAATTTCTTTTCTTGGAAAATAAATTTTAAAAAAATCGTATATTTTGCATTAATATCAATTGTTTTTTTTTACATTCATAAGCAACTTTTTGAATTTTAAAAAGTTTCAAATTGAAGTATTAGAAAAGTTGAATTGTAAAAGATTTTAATTAAAAATTCTGAATAAGTTAGTTTTCTGAAACATTTTTATTCACATTTCTTTTTCAAATTATATTATAAACAGATAGTAAAACGTAAGGTGTTAAAATAACACCAGAATGCATTAAAATAATCTGCAACATTTTTATAAATAATAAAATTCTTTTAGGAATTCAATTATTTTCATAAATAATAAAACTCATGTTGCAGAATTTCAATTATTTTTAATGCAATTTTAATTCGAATTCCTCGAAAAATGTAATTATTCTTTAAAATTTTATTAAAATTCGTCCAAAGAATTTAATGATTTAAAAAAATTATTGTTAATAACATTTTTTATGAGAATTTAATAATTCAAGAAACATGAAATTAATAAATTATTTATTTCTGTATATTTAAATAATTGAATTCTCGTATAGAATCTACTAATAAAAATGGTTTTAAAAATGAATTTCAATTAAAATTTTAGATTATATTTGAATATTAAAAGCATTATAACGTGGATTTTTAGAAATATAATTAAATTTTGAAAAAGTTTCAAACCAAAAATCATTGAAATTCGTAATTTTTCATATTTTTGAAAAAAAAAATTCTGAAGAATTAATTCTTTTTAAAAGTTTATAATTAAGATTTTTATTGAAATTATTTCAAGTTTTTATTTTTTTTTCAATATAATATTTAAATTGCAGAATTTCCGAATAATTGAAATAATTGTAAACGAATGAATTTGAAAATTCTCATAAAACTCATCGCAAAGTTTCAATTATTTTTCATACGATTATAATTTAATTCCTTGAAAAAAGTAATTATGTTCATGCAAGTTTTAAAAAAATTCGACAAAAAGAATTCAATTATTTAAAAATTTGTTAATAAAATTCTTTAAGAGAATTGTAATTTTGAGAAAAATTCAATTATTCAATAAATTATTTACTTTTGCATTTAAATAATTAAATACTTGTAGAATTTTTTTCATAAAAATTGATTTTAATTTCATAAAAATGAATTAAAAATTTTAGATTATAATTGAATATTAAAAGCAATATAGCGTGAATTTTTAGAAATTATTGAATTTTCAAATTAATTTTTTGGAAAAAGTTGAATTTTTTTCATATTATTATTTGAAGTTTTTATTTTCTAAATATGCATTTAATTAAGAATTTAATTTGAAATCTCGTGAAATTAAATATTGTAAACAAATGAATTTGAAAATTGCCAAAGAACTTTTTTGAAAATTATTAAAAATAATTGATATAAAGGAAAATTGTAGTTAAAAATTTTTGAAAATAATGGAAATAATTTTGAAGAAGTATAATATTCTTATAATATAAAATAATGATTTTATTACTTGGTCATCTTTAATTTATTATAAAATATGAAGAAATCGATCACTCCGAGTCGAAGACTGGGAATTATCGATATCTTCATGTTTTATAGTTTTAAAAAAATTTAATGAAAAAATTTTGAAAATTTTATTCATTGTAAAAAATAACACCAAAATTGATTATTTTAATCTTTTTTTGTGCTAATTTAATCTGCAACACTTTTTAATACCTTTTTTTACTGTAAAACTTTTTTTTTTTTATTTTTTTATTTATTTATTTTTTTATTTTATTTTATTTTATAATAAAAAAAGCATTACTTTCAGATTGGCGTTCCCCCCTGATAAAATGTCGACCAGTTTCTATCCAAACGAATGTATCGTTTGTAAGAAGACGGAAAAATTAAAGAGATGCAGTCGTTGTCAAATGATATCATATTGCGGTGAAGTACATCAAAAGAGTCACTGGAACGAACACAAGAATATTTGTAAAATAATATCAAACATTGCAAAAGAGAAGGAAATCACTCATCTCTATGAAGATTTACGAGATTGCACCTTAATGACATGGTCAGATTCAAGAAAAGCAATGATTGCCGAAGTCTCCTCTAAATTAGGTCGAGAATTAAGAAAAGCTGAAGTAGAAATGCTCCAATATCCTCGATCATGCTACGTGTGTTATGACACAAAACAGGAGAATTTAACAAATTGTACAAAATGCCCCCTGGTGTCTTTTTGCCAGAAGCATTTAGATACAACTCTTCATGACAAAACATGCGCAGACATAATGACATGCCACGCTTTGGATAACGAAAACTTCTCCTTCGAGGATGCGATGATCGCTAAATTCAAATCATTATCAAAACCTTCTGTTGAAAAATTACCCACTTGTACAATGGAATATTTGGAGGAGATTCTAGGTGGAAAGTTAAATTACACTCAGAAACTTTATGCATCGTTGCATGTCTATCATCCATTGACGATATTCGGAGTACTGCAGAAATTGAATTTGGTGACATTGTCGAAAATGACGATTTATATTAACATACACGATAATTGGTTGAATATGCGACAGTTTATTGAGAATCTCTTTCATTTGCTGCCAAAATTGAAGGAGTTGAATGTCCAGACTAATTGCGTGAAACAAATGTTAATTCCCGGTCAGTTGAATGTTTGCTCCACGTGTAATAAGAATAGGAAAAAATTATCTTTTGCATATTACGACGATACACTCTTCAATGGTTCGATTGATCTCGCCTTCTTTGCTGACATGACACCACCTGATAATTCCGGTTGGGAGTATTCGACATTTGGAACTTTGAGACATATTTGCACCAGATATGCATGTCCGGTTGTTTTAACGTCGAACACTGAGATTGAGATGAAACGAGTTAGAACCTATTTTAAATCCGTTTTACACAATCAAACTATTTTACACGACGGTTTCAATGATTTTTCCTCCTTACATCTCGCAAGGCACTGGGAGGATTGGAGAATAAGTCAAAAATCGCATTATATGATTGTCGCTAAATCGACGAATATGTACAATTCGCTGGAGGATATTATTAATTCACCGGAAACGGGTTCGTTGAAGAGTAAAACACAACCGGATCAGAGGAAAATTGTCGAGAGATTTTATCCTGGTATTTGTCAGGTTTGTAAATGTGCGAATGCAAAGGAAGCTTGTACGAGATGTAAGATGGTTTTTTACTGTGGACAGAGTCATTTGAAGCAGGATCAGTCGGAGCACAAGGATATTTGTAAAGTAATACTGGGACTTTTGAATGAAAAGGGAACTCCTCATCTTTTTGATAACATGGATGTTAGTGACGAGAAATCCTGGTTGGAGGCGAAGGTGAATTTTTTGAAAATTGCCCGATCAAAATTGAATAGGGATTTAATGAATTATGAGAAGCAAATATTTCTCTTTCCAAGGACCTGCTTCGTTTGTCACGAGAGCAATTTGAGCGTTCTCAAAACATGTAAATGCGGTGTAAGTATTTTTTTATTTTTTCGTTACAATTTTTATCCAATTTAATCAATTTTCAATCAATTTCTTTTGGCCTTTTATCTGCAATTATAGACAATTTCCAAATTATAAGCAAAAATTTAACTATTACCCATACATTGACGATACTTTAATTTGCCTACCAAAAAAAATAAAATAAATCCAACTCAATAGAGGAAAAAATAAAATTCACTTTGGAAGAAGCAACAAACAACAACAATTTCCTAGACTTAACGTTGTATATAGAAAACAATAAAATAATTAAAAATTGGTTCAGAAAACCAATATGGTCAGGACGATACATAAATTACGATTCTGAACATTGTCTAAAATATAAATTGTCATCGCTCTAGTTGATCGCGCAATCAAATTAGCAGACGAAAAAAACTATTTCGCACTCGATAATTAATTTTAAAAAAAAGTAGCAAAAAGTAGCTTTCAAACTAAAAAAAAAAGTAGTGAAAAAGTAGCTATCGAAAAATTAAACTTGACGACAAAAAAAACTCGATTTAGACACTTTACAAAACTGACAAAAATTCCTTTCGATATTTTTAATTTTTTTGACTTTAAATATTTATCAAAATAATTTAATTCTTGCGAAGAATTTTATGAAAATTTTTAAATAATTCATTTCTTTCGACTAATTTTATGCAAATTTTAATTTAAATAATTAAGTTCCTGACAAATTTTTATTATTCTTGCAAAAAGAATTGAATTCTTACGAAGATTTTTACAAAATATTTTTTTAAATAATTGAATTCTGTTTGGAAATTTTATAAAAATAGTAGGTATTGAAAATTATTGAATTGAGAAAAGTTTTTTGAAATAATTAAATTTTACAAAGAATTCTATTAAAATTTTTAACAATCATTATAAATGTCTGTGTGGTATTTTATTAATTTTTTTTTTTTAAATAATTGAATTCCTAAAAAGCATTTTATTATTTATGAAAATAATTGAATTCTTGGGAAGAATTTTATTAGAATTTTTGTAAAATAATTGAATTTCCAAGAAGAAATTTATTACTTTTAAAAATAATTGAATTCTTGCGATGAATATTGTTATTTATGAAAATAATTGAATTTTGCAAAGCATTTTATTAATATGCCTCAAAATAATTGAATTTTCGGAAATTAATAATTTTGTTATTTATCTTTAATAATTGAATTCTTTCGAAGAATTATTTATGTAAATAATTGAATTCTTTGAAAGAATTTTATACAAATCTAAAAGAATAATTGAATTATTTCAGAAGAATTTAATTAAAATTATATTTAAAATAATTGATTTCTTTAGACTAATTTTATGCAAATTCTAATTTAAATAATTGAATTCCTGAGAAATTTTTATTATTCATGAAAAGAAATAAATTCTTGTGAAGATTTATACAAACAATTTTTTAAATAATTGAATTTTGTTTGGAAATTTTATGTAAATTTATTAAATAAATAAATAAAATAAATAAAAAATAGTAGATATTGAAAATCATTGAATTGCAAAAAGTTTTTTAAAATAATCAAATTTTACAAAGAATTCAATTAAATTTTTGGACAATAATTGAATGTGTGTTTTTTTTATTTTATTAGAATTTTTCAAAATAATTGAATTTCCAAGAAGAAATTTATTACTTTTAAAAATAATTGAATTTTTCTGATGAATATTGTTATTTATGAAAATAATTGAATTTTGCAAAGAATTTTATTAAAATTCTTTAAAATAATTGAATTTTCGGGAATAATTTTGTTTTTTTACTGACATAATTGAATCTTTTCGAAAAATTATTCATTGTTAATAATTGAATTCTTGGGAAGAATTCTATTAAAATCTAGAAGCATAATTGAATTATTTCACAAAAATGTAACTAAAATTTGTATTTAAAGTAATTGATTTTTTTCGAAAAATTCTATTAAAATATTTGAAAATAATTGAATTCCTGTAAAAAATTCTAATATTTTTATAAATAATTGAATTCTTCCAAAAAATTTTTTAAAAAAATATTTTTTTAAATAATTAATTTTTTTGAGGAATTGAAATTAAATTTTTAAGAATTATTAAATTTTTTGAGCAATTTCTGTAAAATTGTAAAATTAAAAAATAATTGAAATCCTGCGATGAATCTTATTATTTATGAAAATAATTGAATCCCTAAGAAGAATTTTATTAAAATTTTCAAAAATAATTGAATTCCTGAGAAGAATTTAATGATTTTTGAAAATAATTGAATTATTGTGAAAAAGTTAAATAAAATGTTTAAAAAGAATTGAATTTCTGTGGAAAATTTTGTTATTTATGAAAATAATTGAATTATTCATAAGAATTTTATAAACATTGTTTAAAATAATTCATGTTTTTGAAATATAATAAATATTATATGAAAATTTTATTCTAAATAAAATTGAATGCTTCAGAAAAACTTTATTTGTGAAAATAATTGAATTTTTTGATTAATTAATTTAAAATAGTATTTATGAAGATAATTGAATTCTTGCTTAGAATTTTATCGAAAAATTTTTTTTGAAAATTTGAATTTCCACGAAAAATGTTATTATTAGTGAGAGTAATTGAATTATTAAGAAGAATTGTATAAAAATTTTGTTAAATAATTGATTAATTTCATTTTTTCGAATTTTTTTTTGAAAATGCTATTCTAAATTAATTGAAATCATGTGGAAATTTTATTATGAATGAAATAATAATTCTTTTGCTTTTTATGAAAATACTAGATATTGAAAATGAATTTCGACTATTTTTTGAAAATAAATATAATAGTAGATGAGTGTTTTAGTTCATCATCGTTGTTAAGATCTAAACTTTCTAGATGTTTCTTTTTTTCTGAATTATCTTCTAGATGATCTATAATATTATCTATAAGTTGTAGATCATTTTGCAAATCTTCATCATTCAATTCTGGATTTAATTTCTTTTCCGAAACCACATTCTTCATTTTCTGTTATATTCTGTAATTTTTTTATCTTTTTTCTTGAGCTTTGAGATTTTCTGAGCTATATAATTTGTAACTTTTAATTTATTTTATTGTGAAGAAAATTTTTTTAAATACAATTTTAGTGTTTGACTAGTCGAACAGCTGTTCAATATAGGTTAAAAGATTTGAAAAAATTTAAGTCATTATTTAAAATAAAGATTCTTTAATGTTTTATTTTTTAATTTATTTTTTAAATTTATTTTTTAAATTTATTTTTTAAATTTATTTTTTAAATTTATTTCTTTAATTTTATTTATTTAATTTTTTTTATTTTTACACTTTTTTTGTTTGTCTTATAATTAATATTCTATTTTTCTCATATATAGGTGAGCCTGTGCAAAATTCACCGCGACGACACTGACCATAAATTGCTCTGCGATTATTTCAATTTCAATCTAAAGTGGGCGAGAAGTAAGGAGAAACGTCAGGACCAAATAGTAGTGACAGCCTTCGCCAATAAAAGAGACTACAAAGTAATGCCAACAATGGATCAGTATATAGACAGATATTTTGAATTCAAGAATTATCGCTTGAAACCCCTACTGCAGAATCCTCGAAAAGTCGTGATATCCGATTTTCTAACTCGTTCCCTAACCTTCATTTACATTGCAGAAAAATTAGAAACTCCAATTCCAAATACTCTCTACATTCACGTGGTTGGAGCGTTAAACGAAGAATTCGAGAGTGTCTGCTACTGGCACACGGTCATAAAATGGTTCGACAATGTAACCACTTTATACATCGACTTCATTGGCGTCGAATTAACCGAAAACGATGATTTCAATCCAAAAAGTACATTCCACTTTCACGATAAACGATTGAAGAATTCACAGTTCACCTTTAGCACATATCACGGACGCTATGAGGATTTTTTCCGAAATGTCGAATTCAGAAGACCGGATGTAATAATCGGTTATAATTTAAATCTTCATGAGAGTGATTTAGGATTATCGGCGTGCACTTGGAGGGAGACACTTTCGATCATCAGTAAAATGAATGTTCCCTTCTTTTTGACGGCAGTCACGGAGGTTCGAGCCAGGAAAGATCACGAAATGATCGGTAAAATATTGGGTCGGAAAATTAATTACGAATTTTTTGGAAAGAATCCCTACGCTAGTTTTATGCCCGAAAGGGATTACGAGACGGAAAGATTGTGTTATTCGAATAATTATGTTGTCGCTTACAATCACCTTCGTGGACCAGAAATTAAAAAGAAAGTGAATGGATCGAAAAATCAGGAAGTTGGTGTTAAAAATAAAAATTCTTTTCCAAAAAAAGGGGTCGAAATGGAAATTTCTAATGTTGAAAAAAAAAATTCACCAAATGTTAAGAAGAAATCTGAGGCTGAAGATAGTGCACTTCATGAAGTGAAGAAAATTGCTAAGGGAGAATTTTCCAGAGTGAAGGTTAATAAAGTGGTTGAAAAAGTAGAAAAAGCTGAAAAACTGGTTGAAAACGTAGAAAAAGTAGAAAAAGTAAAAAAACTGGTTGAAAACGTAGAAAAAGTAGAAAAAGTAAAAAAACTGGTTGAAAAGGTGGAAAAAGTAGAAAAACCGGTTGAAAAGGTAGGAAAAGTTGAAAACTCGAATTCCAAAACAAAAATTTTTCAAGTCCGAGAAGAATTGGTAAATCAAAATTTACATCTTGAAGAGGAAAATGAAATTCTTAAGGAGAATGTCCGTCTGATGGAAGAAAACGAAAGTTTGAAGAATAAGATTTCTGAATTACATTTAAAATAGTTTTTTTTTAGTAAAATTTATACCTATTGCATGTGTTTATTATTAAAAAAAAACCGGATAAAATTAATGTTACTTGGCGGTTAAAATTTATTTACAAATTTATATTAAAAATTTAAAATGTTTAAAGAATTTTCATTTTCATTTCGAAATATTTTTTATATAATAATATATTATCTCTGCGTCGATTATTATCTTTAAAGACCTAATTCTGTTATTTACTAATTTCAGTAAAGAATTTCACTTTTAATTTTTATTTTTGCTAACCTACTTATTCTTTAAATGTTCAATTTTGTGTTATTCTTGCTGTAATTATTATTTTAAAACTGAAAAATATTATTTTTATGCTAAAAAAAAATTTTTTTTGGTATAAAATTATTTTTTTTTGTAACAAAAACAATTTTTTTTTTGTATAAAAAAATATTTTTCAGTTTGTTTTGTACCTAATTTTGCATATTTATATAGTGAACATAATTTTTTTTTTCCTAAGAAATGAGAAGAAAAACGAAAAAAACTAATAAATGTGACGCGCTACCGAGAAAGGTACTTAAGAAGTAAACGAATTTTAGGTTATGTTTGTGTTAGATTTATCTGGATTAACAATTTCTTTTTAATTTTCTAAATTTGAAACCATTGTTTACGAAATATTTTTGATGTAATAAAGACTTGAATATCAATAATTTGTAATAATAATTGATTCTATTTTTGGATTTTTACTCTTAAAATTACAAACATAACCTAAAATTTTTTGCTTCTTCGGTACATTTCATGGGATGAGTGAGTTACAAATTAATTTATTTGTTATACTTATACATCTTGCATTAAAATGAAAATAATAAAAATTCGAAAATCGAAAAAGTGCTTTCGTCAGTTTCTTAAAAATTTATTTTTGAGTGTTTCTAAAAAAAATTCGCAAGATTTCGTCAAAATCTGTGGATTCTAGACTTTTTTGAACAGAAAATTGCAGATTCAAAGCACTGTGTGTGCTACGGCCTTAATTTTCGATTTCGATATTCCAGATTGGAAAAAATAAATCGAAACTGTCGATAATATTCATTATCAAAGAAAGATTCGGCAGATTGTCAATAACGTTATCAAAACTTGTTTGGGAAAAGAAATAAATTTACAAATTAATATTGTCCTAATTTAACAATAGTAAATCAACTTTATTTTATAAAGAAAGGTAAGATATTGTATATAGATAAATTTTAATTTTACTTTCGAATGAAAAATAGTCAACATTTTTTATCTTTTTTTTTAATGCATATCAAATATATAATTATGAAGTGGAACAGTTTTTATGAATAAAATTTCAAAATAAGAATAAGTAATGTAAATTTTAGTGGATATATGTAAATTTACAATTTTACTTCAAGCACTAATATTTAATTATATATTATGTGACATAACCTTATTAATAAGTTAAAATTCCACATATAGTTGAAAAAATAGATTAATAATATTATTATTATTATTATTGAGTTGAGTAGATTAAATAATCTTGTAAATAAATCCCTTGACATAACCTCAAAATAAATAGTGGTTTTATAATATAAATAAAATTAATATAGTACTTAACTTTTCTAAATTTTGAAAGTTCTATTTATACTATTTAAAAAAAAAATTTTATTCCTAACTTCATATAAAATTGCAAAATATTTAACATTTTTTTATATGTACGTGTATACTTTATTAATTTTTTTAAAAATTTTGTGTTTTTTTCTAAAGCACTGTGAGTACAGTCAAAGCAAAAAAAAATCGCATTGGGAATAATCTAATGTACAGTCAAAACAAAAATTATTCAATGATTTATACGATTTATACATTATATTATATTATTAATATATTATGTATTAATTAATAATAATAATTAAATATATATTAATTAAATTAATTAATATATTAATATAGTTATTATATTTTCCAAGTTAAAAGGTATTGAATATAGTCATCAAAAAAGTAGTGGTCGCACAATCACCGCCGGTAGTTTAAATTAATAAAGAATAAAAAATATTATAAAAGAGATTTTTGAATAGAATAGAAAAATAATTTTTGAGATTCTTAATATTTGCAAACTTAACTAATTTTGTTATATGTAATTTCAGATTGGCGTTAAATCGATAAAATGGAAAACTACTTTTATCCCAACGAATGTATCGTTTGCAAAAAGAGAACAACACTAAAGAGATGCAGTCGTTGTCGAATGATATCGTATTGCGGCGAAGTACATCAAAAAAATCACTGGCAGGTACACAGGGAAATTTGTAAAGTAATTTCCAATTTAACAAGAGAAAAGAAACTCTCCCATCTCTATGAGGATTTACGAGATTGCACCCTATCGACATGGATAGATTCAAGAAAAGCAATGATGCAAAAAATATTTAACCTACTGGGTCGTCAGCCGAAAAATTGTGAACTAGAAATGTTACAATATCCTCGATCCTGTTTCGTATGCTATGACACTAAACAGGAGAATTTAACAAATTGCGCAAACTGTCCCCTGGTGTCTTTTTGCCAAAAGCATTTAGATACAACCCTTCATGACAAAACATGCGCAGACATAATGACATGCCAAACTTTAGAGTTTGGAAAATCTCAACTTGAAGATGCGGTGAAAATTATGTACATTTCTATATTCGCTTCATTGGCATCGTTGCCGAATTTTAAAAAATTACCGACTTCAACAGAGGAATATTTGGATGCGGTCCTGAAAGCTGATGTCAAATTGGATTATAAATTAAAACTCTACGCCTCGTTGATCGTTGTCTATCCGTTGACAATTTTTGGTGTTCTTCAAAAATTAAACAAAACTTTTTTATCAAAACTGACGATTTACATTCACGTGTATGAGGGTTTTGACTCAATGCGTCAATTCATCGAGAATTTGTTCCACTTACTGCCGAATTTAGAAGAACTGAAGATAGTGACTAACAGTATTAATGAAGTAATTGTCCCTGGAAAGTTGTATCTCTGCTCGAGGTGTACATTAACGAAACGAAAATTAACATTTCAGTATTATGACGAAAGAGTTTTTAATGAATCATTCGATCTTATTTTTATTTCGAATTTAAGTCCACCGGATAATTCAGGATGGCAGTACAAAATGTTTGGGGACATTCGTCATTTTTGTAGTAAATTTACATGTCCCGTGGTTTTAACGTCAAGTACAGAATTAGAAATTCAACGAGTAAAGAATTATGTCCAATCAGTTTGTCACAATCACACGATTTTTTACGACGGTCCAAATAATTTCTCATCAATGTTCGTCACTAGAAATTGGGAAGATTGGAAAGTGAATAAATCATCACAATTTATGATAATCGCGAAATCGACAAAAACTTCGAATTCTGTGGAGGATGTTATAAGTTTACCGGAATCGGTGACGGGAATTTTTGTGCCAAGCGCCGTGAAGAGTTTGGAATCATTTTATCCGGGAATTTGTCAAGTTTGTAAAATTCCAGGAGAGGAAACGTGTAAACGGTGTAAGATGATTTTTTACTGTGGTCAGAGTCACTTGAAGCAGAATCAATCGGAGCACAAGGATATTTGTAAAGTAATATTGGGACTTTTGAAGGAAAAAGGAACTCCTCATCTTTTCGACAAGGCGGATATTATCAATGGGAAATCCTGGTTGGAGGCGAAGTTGAATTTTTTGAAAATTGCGAGATCGAAATTAAATCGTGATTTACTGACATTCGAGAAGGAAATATTTCTTTTTCCAAAGACTTGCTTCGTTTGTCACGAAAGCGATTTGAGTGTTCTCAAAACTTGCAAATGCAGTGTAAGTATTTTTTTTTTTGTTACAATTTTTATCCAATTTAATCAATTTCCACTTTTGCCTTTTATCTGCAATAGACACATTTTCAAAATTTTAAAATTAGTTTTATTCTAAAGTAGAGTTAAAAATAAGATAATTAAATAGTGTTTTTAATAAAAATAGTCTATTTTAATTGATTTTTAAAAAATCACATGATTTGAAATGGAACTATTTTCGCGCTACATCTACGTCACGCGTGTGACGTCACAAGTTGGCTGTAAAACAAAGACTAGCAATTTACAAGCTTACTAATGTAATAGTGAATTCGGTTATCTGCTCTAGAGTGCTCTAAGAGTGCTCCTCGAAAGAGTAGTATATTTCGATTTAACAAATTTGCTATAGTCAAAGCATACAAAGAGTGCTCTCGCACGGAGCAGAGCACTCCGTCTCAGAGCAGAGAGCAGTTAACCGAATTCGCTATAAGAAATATAAAAGAAATTGAACAGAAGATGGCTAGAGATGATAAATTATCCTGAAAAATTCAAGAAAATTTTGAAGTCGAATCTGTGGTTAAAGATAAAAATATGCTTGCTCTGAAAAATGAGAAAATTGAACAACAAAATGTGTTTAATGAAAAACATGAGTTTTTTGCACCATTTGTAGTAAATAACATCCGTATTCTTCACGTTCGGATCTGTATATATTATAAAAGTAATTAAATTAACAGATGTTTATATTAAATTGAATATCTAAATAATAATAGATTGCTTTTATTTTAATTAAATATAAATAGCACTTTAATAAATTAAATAATACCAGATAGAAAAATATATTTTTATTATTTTTTTTACAATGTTTTTACAATGTTTTTACAATGTTTTTACAATGTTTTTTTTTACAATGTTATTACAATTTCATAAAAAGTTACAATTTGTAATTATACAACTAAACTATTAGTTAAAAAAATTAGAATCAGTAATATGTAAATAATTATTAAAATCATTATTATTAGTTACGATGGCGTAATATTAATAACAAATTTTATTTTCAAAACAGGTGAGCCTGTGCAAAATTCATAGAGATGACACCGAGCATAAAAATCTCTGCGAATATTTCCAGTTTAATCTAAAGTGGGGACAATGCAAAGAGAAATATCACGAGCGTTTGGCAGTATCGCTATTTCCGAATAAACGGGACCAAAAATTACAACCCACAATGGATCAGTATGTAGACAGATACTTCTGTTTTAATAATTATCGTTCGATGTCAACTATTCAGAATCCACAGAAGGTTATCATTTCGGATTATTTAACAAGACCCCTAACATTTATATTCGCTGTTGAAAAATTACGGTTCACTATTCCAAGTACACTCTACATTCACATTGTCGGCGCGTTAGACGAGGAATTCGAGCACATTTGTTACTGGCACACTGTTTTAAATTGGTTCAATAGTTTGAGAAATTTACATATGGATTTTCTCGGTACTGAGGTCACTGCAAGAATGGAATTAGCACCAAAGAGTACATTCCATTTTTTGGAAGAGTCATCAATTGATAAGCTCTTCAATTTTAGCTTCTTCAATTGGCGTTATGATGAGTTCTTTAAGAGTGTAGAATTCAGAAAACCGGATATAATTATTGGTTATAATTTGAATCTGCATGAGAGTAATTTAGGATTGTCCGAGTGCACATGGAAGGAGACAGTTTCAATTATCAGTAAAATGAATGTACCATTTATAATGACCTCAAAATCGGAGGATCGAGCCAGGAAAGATCATGAAATGATCTGTTCACTATTGGATCAGAAAATTAATTACGACTTCTTTGGAAAGAATCCCTACGCTAGTTTCATGCCCGAAAGAGATTACGAGACAGAAAGATTGTGTTACTCGAATAATTATGTAATTGCCTACAATCAACTTTGTAAACCCTCAAGGAAAGTAGAGTCGAAAAATCATCATACTGTCGAGAATGAAAATTGTGTCGAAACGATAAAAATTAAAACCGAAGAAGGCAAAAAAATTTCTGATGCAGTTGCAAAAAGTAATGTGGAAAAAGTTGAAAATGCGGAAGTTAAAAAATTATCGACTATCAGGACTTCTGATGACGCTGTTGCAAAAAATAATGGGGAAAAAGTTGAAAATAATAGGGAAATAGAAAAATTAACAACTGTCAAGGTGTCTGATGCTGTTTTTAAAGAAAATGTCGAGAAAATAAAAAATGCAGAAGATAAAAAATTATCAACTGTTAATTCTGATGCCGAGGATGTGTGTAAATTGAAAATATTAGCTGAAGAAGAATTCTCGAAGGTGAAGGTTAATAATGTTTTAAAGGAAGAGAAGATGGGGGGAAAAGAAGAAAAAGCTGAAAATTCTAATCCCATTGCGGAAGATAATAACGACAATAAAAAACTATTAAACGAAATTATGCAACTAAAAGAGGAAAATAGAATACTGAAAGAGAATCTGCGACTTAGGGAGGAGAACGAACGATTGAAGAATAAGATTTCCGAATTAAGTTTAAAATAGAAATAAATAATTCCTTTTTTGATAATAATAAAAAAAAATATTTTTTAATCTTTGCTATATTAATTATTAATTAATGAAATAATGGTCAAATTGTTAATTAATTAACAACCATATTGTTATTCAACCGTGAAAATTCATCAAAGTCGATTGCTTGACCAAAACACCGGAGGTATAGAAGCAACTTTAATGTATTTTCTCCCCATTTTCTTTATCTTAAACCAATTCTAAAATAGCCAACTTCTTTTTCCCTTTCTACAATATTTCCATCCTCAAATTTTCCTCCCTTAAGAAAATTGGTACTATGGGAATTGTTACATAAATATACATGTTCCTTAAGGAAATCTCAGTCTCCAGTTCTCATCAATTAATCTTCAAGTTCTAAAAATTCTTAAAAGTTCTTCAAGTTTTAAATTCTCAAGTTTAAATTTAAAGTCATTTAAATTTTATTCTTTTCAAGTTTTCAAGTATTGAATTCGAAATTTTTAAGGTTATAATAATGCCATAACTGCAAACTTCATCTTCGCTCCAGTTTCGACTTCGACTTTAAATCTTTGATTTTTATAAAAGTAAGTGAAAATTTTAATTGCTGTGTTCTTTCTTCTAAATTCCTTTTTACCTTTGAATCCTTTGAATCAATCTTCCTATTGCCGGAAAGGTTGCATATACGTCAGCTGTGCATGTATGCAATTTATTCCAAATTCTCAAACTTTTAATTAACCAAAATAAATCGAAACAGGTGTAATAATTGGAAATCATCTTTTTAATAAGAAAAGTGTTTGTATTTGGAATTTAAGTTATTAGTATAATTTTTTTTTATTTACTATAGCGTTGCAAAAGTATTTTGATAGTTAAAATATATTTTGTTTATTAAACAGTTAAAATCTTCTAAAAAATAAATTAATATGTGAAATGTATAATAAAACAAGATTGGTTTGACTTGGTTGGTCATTGTTCATCAGTTTGCGACGCCGCCCCTTCTTATAAAAAAATAAAAAAATTTTAAATAAAATATAGTCTAAATAATGGAAGCTACATCAAGGATTTTGTATATAACAGGAAACAGGAACAATGAAACATTTATCCGCATCAAATTCGTAATTTAAACATAGGAATTCACTATTTTCGAAGAAACATCAGCAAATTTGAAAAATGAGGTGTTATCATCATGCGAGAGAGAGAGTATAAAATCGACTCGTGTATAGTGTGCGATGATATTTTTAAATCTGAGTCAGGAGTCGACGATTCACGGACGTTAAATATTCCCCATATCGTTAAATTGACGACACGTTGCACAATTTAACAAGAACGATGCTTTACTAAAGTTCCTCAAAGTATGAAAAAGTGGGGATATCCTGCGATTATTTTTAGATTTTTGAACTTATAAACTGACCCACATCCTATTCTCCAATGAATATATAATATTTCCCCCCCCCCCTCTCTCTCTCTCTCTTTTTCTGTAAATATCTTCATTATCGTGTTGATTTCTCAATTTAAATAGGATTTAATCTTCTAATTAACACATATAAATTTAGAGAATGCCAAAAAAAAATTGAAATTAGAAAAAAATATATGTTTTTGCCAAACAGTTTATTTGATATCTCTGTCCCTCGAGAGGAAGAAACATTTCTACGTTTGCCATTCTTCTCCATTTTTGTTTACTTTCATAATTTTTATTTTTATTTATTTTTTTATTTTTTTTGAAAATTTTTTTCATTTTTTAAAAATATTAAGATACGTGTCGGGCACTGAAGAAAGGTACCTCAAAAGAAAAATATTTGAAGGTTATATGTTTGTGTCAAATTTTGATGCTATGTCCTTGAAAGTGTTTCACGGTTAAAACATAAAGGTCGTCCTAAAAAGACATCACTTTGATTCCAGAGTGGAAAATATGGTGCCAATGGCATTACTCAGACGGAGATTCAAATATAACATTTTCTTCAATGTACCAAATCCAAAACACGCAACAAGAAAACGCACCTGTTTGTTTAAAAGCCGCATGGCTCAAATGCCTATAATGCCATCAAAAACTGGATCATACAATAATAACTTGGCCTATATTTTACATAAATATTAAGAATTCTATTTCAAGAATATTTTTCCTTTCCTTGAAAGTCGAAGAATATAATACTCAACATTTCGTTTTACTTACCCCTCTAGAAATTATAGTTATATTTGAAATCTTATTGCTTGTCTTGCAGCTACATATGTTAAACCATAGATTTGATATTTTTAGATCCTAAATTGGTCCTAATTTCTAAATTTTGATAAAATTAGGTAAATTTTTTTTAAAATATACCTAAAAGGTTTTTCTTAAAGTATTATTAAGATACTTTTTTTTTTTTAAAAAAAGGGATTGTAAAATTCGAAAAATGTAAATTATTTTTAACTACAATATAAAAATAATTCACATTCTTGGAATTTTACAGACTCTCGGTAGAAACTGCGGTAGAAACTTTCGAAATGAATCATTTTTGGCAAAAACATTTTTTTATCTTTAGTCGACATGTCTGAAAGTATAATAATAAAATAAAGTTGTAATTATTTACCTATGTGGTGAAAAATTGATTTTTATTAAAACCTACTTTAAATATTAATAAATATCAATTTTTCAGTAGAAACTCATCTTTTAAAAATGATAAAATCGATAGGTGGGAAAAATTACATTCCAAACGGCGGAGACTTTAATGAAACACAAGTACAAAGCTCCTATTGTTTTTTTTGGCAGATATTTAAAGAAATCATTTTCCGGAAGAGTAGTAGGAATTTTTACATTGTTTTTATCATTTTCTTAACACTAAGGTCCTAAACGCTTGGCAAAGAATAAATTTTCAAAGTAACAACAAATTTTGGCAGTTGTTTCTGTTATACAAAGAAAAGAAATTTATTATGATCTTTTTCGCAATTGACGCTGAAGAAAGAACACCTTATAGCAAAGTTTTATTACTTAAAAACCAAAGAAGCTATAATTTCCCACGGTTGCTGATATCATGATCATTTTTATAAAATTGAACCTATCCACGTCGAGAAATTGCAACAAAAATTAATACAATTTAATAAATATTTTCAAAATCTACTATTTTAATAAAATTTCTCAAATGAATTCAATTATTTTCCTAAATAATAATTTTATAAATTCAATTATTATGTAAAATTTTAAATGAAATTCATTTTCAAAATCAATTTTTCATTAGGAAATTCTACGAAAATTCAATTATTTAAAATTAACAAAATAAATAATTTATTGAATAAATAAATATTTTTCAAAATTTAAATCTTCATAAAAAATATTTTATCAACAAATTTTTAAATACAATTCAATTTAATTAAATTTTTTTTTGAAATTATTAAATTATTCTTTTAGATTTTAATAAAATTCTTCGGAGGAATTCAATTATTTACATAAATAATAAAAGAATTCAATTATTAAAGATAAATAACAAAATTATTCCCGAAAATTCAATTATTTTCATAAATAACAATATTCATCACAAGAATTCAATTATTTTTAAAAGTAGGAATAAATTTCTTTTTGGAAATTCAATTATTTTCCTAAATAACAAAATTTTGCACAGGATTTCAATTATTTTTAATACAATTTTAAGTAAATTCTTCGAAAAATTCAATTATTTTCAAAAATATTCAAAATTCAATTATTTTCGAAAATTCATGCTATAATGCTTTTAATATTCAATTATTATGTAAAATTTCAAATTTTAAAATTCATTTTTAAATCAATTTTTATTAGAAAATTCTACGAGAATTTAATTATTTAATTGCAAATAAAGTGCGAATAAATAATTTATTGAATAAATGAATGTTTTTCAAAAATTGAAATCCTAGTAAAGAATTTTATCAATAAATTTTTGAATAATTCAATTTTTTCGACAAATTTTAATAAAATTTTCAAGAATAATTACATTTTTCGAAGGAATTCGATTAAAATTGTATTAAAAATAATTGAAATTCTATGATGAGTTTTATTATTCATGAAAATAATTGAATCTCGGTGAAAAATTTTATTATTTTTTTTTGAAAATAATGTAATGTTTGCTATTTAAATTTTATTAACAATGTTTTTTTTAAATAATTGAAATCTTTTGAAAAATTTTATTATAATAGTAGATATTGAAAATGATTGAATTGAGGAGAATTTTTTGAATATAATTGAAATTTTGACAAGAATTTTATTAAAATTTTTGAAAATAATTGAATTCCTTTGAAAAACTCTTATATGTTTGTAAATAATTGAATTCTTTCAAAGAATTTAAAAAAAAATATTTTTAAGTAATTGATTTTCTCGAGGAATTGAAATTAAATTTTTAGAAATAATTACATTTTTTTAAGTAATTCCTGTAAAACTGTATTACAAATAATTGAAAATCTGCAATGAATTTTATTATTTATGAAAATAATTGAATTCTTGAATTGAATTTTATTGAAAGTTTTTTAAATAATTGAAAAATTATTCTCTGGTAAAAAATTCAATTGCTTTTTTAAAGAATTGAATTTTTGTGAAAAATTTCATTACTTTTTAAAATAATTGAACTTTTGTGAAAAATTCATTTATTTTTTAAAATAATTGAATTTTCTCTTAGAATTTTCACGCAAGATTTTTGAAAAAATAATTGAAATTTTCGAAGAAATTAAATCATTTAGAAATTCATTTCATTTAGATTTCAAAACGTTGTAGTAAACTAATTTTTAAAAACTATTTGTCCGAATGTTTTCGTTTCATTCTCCTTTACTGAAGAAATTAATAAAAATATATTTTGAAAATAACTGAAATTCAATTATTTTTTTAAATAATTGAACTTTTGTGAAAATTTAATTAGTTTTTAAATACCTAATTGAAATTTTGTGAAAAAATCAATTATTTTTTAAAATAATTGAATTTTCTCTTAGAGTTTTCACAAGATTTTTGAAAAAATAATTGAAATTTTCGAAGATTACTGCAATCATTTGTAACTTTTTTTTAAATTCAATTTTTTCTAGTACTTTAATAAAAATTCCTGACTTTTCCCTGATTTTCCTGACCTATAACAATCCTGAAAATGTTAAAATATAATTTTAAAATAAAAAACTTGTTGAATTTCCATGGAAACTCCATGGAAATTCCATCGACTTTCCATGGAATTTATAGGGGGTACATATTGGGGTACATCCATGGAATTTTTCGAAGTGGGTATTACCATAGGTTATATTTTATAAAAATGGTAATAGATTCAATTTTATAAAAATGGTCATATATGGAAATTTTCAATTATAAGATCGAATCATACAGTTGACCACATGGTCAACTGTATGATTCGATCTTATAATTAAAAATTTCCAAGTAATTTTTTAAGAAGAAAAAAAAAATTTTCTATAAAGATTGGTATGGAGCAAGGTCTCAAAATTGAGCGGCACCCTTCAACATCAACATCATCATCATCTTTACCAAAATGAATAACCCCTCTAATATTAGAATCGAAAAATCCAAAGCGTCGTTTACATTTACCCACTTGGACAGTTCCTGAGAGGCGTGGGCCGAACGAATGTTGCGTTGTCTCGGGATATAAAAACCGTTGGCAATCGACGTCGGCACTTCAGTACTCCTTCACTATCCTGCAAAGAATCTCGTTATAACCATGGCTCTTGAACGTCAAGTCCGTGCCAAGGTACAACTCTAGGATTATTCATTTTACAATTCCACAAGTTTATAGTTTACCAAAAAAAGAAAAACTCTTCATTTCTAAAACTGACCCTTTTTAGTGATTATAAAACACTCCTAAACCCCATCCCTTAAATTTCCATACCATTCAAAACTTATCCTCAAAATTTCCATACCATCCAAAACTTATCCTCAAAATTTCCATACCATCCAAAACTCTTATCCTCAAAATTTCCATACCATCCAAAACTCTTATCCTCAAAATTTCCATACCATTCAAAACTTATCCTCAAAATTTCCATACCATTCAAAACTTATCCTCAAAATTTCCATATATTTCAAAAATTTCCAAGTTATCCAAAAGTATCCACAAAATCGGTTCAAAATTAAAAAAAGAAGATTTTTGAAGTGCATTTCAAGTATATCAAGTGTTTTGAGAAAATAAGTGATGGGAAAATTATAGTGATGGATATTAAGTGACGATTTGATGCATATGATCATTTTTATAAAATTGAACCTTCCTTTACTCACTGTTAAACTTAAAAGTATCAAATTGCAAATAATTGATACCAAAAATGTGGATCGAATAAAAAATTGATACAAATTTTTTGAGATTTGATACTCTGAAGAAAACTGTGGCTATAACTTGAATGCGCACCATTTAAAGTCATCAGATGCGCAAGGGACTTGCTCACTTAACCAGATCGAGTTATAGAATACGAAGGGGGGTTCAATTTTGATATTATTGAACGATTTTGTTTAATAATATTAATAATAATAATAATAATAATAATAATAATATTTTGATAATATTAGTAAACATTTAAAATTAATAGAAAACTTATTATTTATTTCGCAGATTGCTGGCAAGCGAAACCCAGAACAGGAAAAGGAGGCCCAAGAATGGATCGAATCGATTATGGGCAAAAAATTCCCCACTAATGAAACATTCGAGGATGTTATTCGCGATGGTCAGGTTCTTTGTCAATTGATGAACAAAATCGCCCCTGGATCTGTGCCCAAGATCAACAGTTCCGGTGGACAGTTCAAAATGATGGAGAACATCAATCTGTAAGCAATTTTTTGTTTCTTTTGCTTTCCCTTGCTTTATTAGAATTCAAAAATAATTGTTTCCAAACTTTTCGACAATGAGATCGAGGGTAGTTGGTAAAAATAATTTTCAATTACGATTTGTCGTCATGTTCAATTTTTCGTAATGTTACAAGTAAAATTCAATACCTCAAGAACCATAATTTAAATAATTATTTAAATATTATGACCCTTAATGTTGAATTTAAATAAGGAATTTTTAAAAATATTTTGAAAATAGTTTTTTCGAATTTTGATGCGATTCAATTTTTCGTATAATGTTACAATAGTAAAAGTCAACCTTAAAGGGCCATAATTTAAATGATTACAGGATAAAAGAATTCAGACAAAAAAATCCCAAAAAAAGTCCAAAATAAAAATGTCCAAAGTGAAAAAATCAAAAATATAAATAAAAACATCTAAAAAAATAAATAATGAAATATGTCAAAAAGACAAGTTTAAAATGAGTAATTCAAACAAAGGACAATTTCATTCAAGATAACCATTTAAATTTTTATATCTCAATTTTTTTCATTGGATTTTGACTAGGACAAAAAATAAAAAAAAAAAAAATAAGTCCAAAGTGAAACTATTTCTAACTCATGCTTCAAGTTCGCGACGCTATTGTGCATTGACCATAAGTGGTTGTCAATGGAAAAATCGCATCGACTTGGGAACCCCCGAAAATAAATACAATCATATGAATGAGTGAGAGAAGAACAACAATATACGTTCTTCCTTCTCTTACTCATTCTCACGATTGTGATTTCGATTACTTTCTCTATTGAGAATCCATTCTGCACTAGAAACTTATTTATTTCATTAAAGATTATAATTCTCAATAAACTGAACTCGAAAATAATTTTATACTTTAAAATAGTATAAATAAAATTTTTTCTTGCCTTCAGTTAATTAAAAATGAATCTTAAATCAAGCAAAAACTTTCCTGAACATAACCTATAATTTTTTTTAATGATATTCAGGTATTGAGGGGGTTTATATTATTATCATCATTATTATTATTAGAATTATTACTATTATCATTATTACTGAAAAGTGATGATTATAATTGCTAAAATAGCATAACCAAATTAAATATTACTTATAAAAAATAAATTGTTACTTATAAAAATTGTTCCCGTTTGTGTATAGATTCCAGAAGGCTTTGAAGGAATACGGAGTCGATGATGTCGATGTTTTCCAAACAGTGGACTTGTGGGAGAAAAAGGACATAGCACAAGTCACAACAACCTTGTTCGCCTTAGGACGTCAGGTATCATTTTTTACTAAATACCAATTTTTTCCAAGAGTAATATTTTTCCAGTAGTAATTTTTCTTCATCGTATCAAAATAATGAGAAAAAAATTTAAAAATTAATTAAAATTTTTAAAAAGAACAAAAAACAAAAAGGAGGATGTTAAAAACTATAAATATTTCATATACTTCCCCGCAGACTTACCGACACGCAGATTGGAAAGGACCTTATTTGGGACCAAAACCATCAGAAGAATGCAAAAGAGACTTCACTGAGGAACAACTTAAAGCTGGGCAGACAATTGTCGGTCTTCAAGCTGGTTCCAATAAGGGTGCAACCCAAGCTGGACAAAGTATGGGAGCAACTCGTAAAATTCTTCTTGGAAAGTAATTTCCTCCCTTCTTTCCTTCCCTTTCCCTCTCCTTCCTTACCCCTTCTCCACTCCCCCTCCCCTCTTTCCAACAACCAAAATGAAAATCCGCGCGTAATTTATATTTTTTATGTATATATAATATAATACTCTAATGTTTAATTATTTATTTTATCTCTTTTATTACTGAAGAATATACATTGTATCTCTATTATAATCAAGTATGTCAATATAATCGATTTATTTATACTGCCTGATGATTTTCTTCTATTTTTTTTTTTTTTTTTAAACAAATAGAGACAAAAAGAAAAATAATTAATTCATTCCAATAAAACTGACAAAAAAAAAGTTACACAATTAGAAACTAGATGTTATTCTAAAAATCGATATCGTGAATTTTTTTTTTTTTTTTATTAATTTTGGAGAAATTTTTTTTTAATTTTCAATCGAATTTGATAGGAGAAAAAATTGTTACGTATTATACACACCAAAAAAATTATCATGTAACATTTTCTGTTAAAATTAATGTTTTTAAATAAAATAGAATTTGGGATAAAGTATCTAAAAACTTGTTGAGTACCAAATTATTAACCAATCACTTCTTAATTATATTTTTATTATTTTATACTTATTGTTAAATTTATTTATTATTATTTATTTTTATTTATTTTATTATTTATTTTTACTATTATTTGCATCGCGCACTGAAGAAAGGTGCCGAAGCAGAAAATCATTTTTAGGTTATGTTTGTGTTATTTTCACATCAATTAAAAGTTTCTGTGTTTAATTTAAAAGCAAAATCAATTTTTACTAAATACTTTCGATGTAATGAAGATTTGAACTTTGGTGGTTTATATTGAAAGTTTTGACTTTGCGTATTTTTATTTTTAAAATTACAAACATAACCTCAAAGTTTTTGCTTCTTAGGTACATATTTTTATGGAGCGCGTCACATTTATTTATTTATTTATATATTTACTGTTGTTATTATTATTATTATTATTATAATTATTATTATTATTATCATTATTATTATTTATTATATATATTTAGCAATTGTCACAAAAGTAAAATTAGTTACACAAATAACAATTGCTATTAAAAAGAAATTAATAAAATAAATAAAAATAATAATTTCTTTTTTAAATATAATAATTAATAATAACACATTTTTCCCAAGAAGCCGAAAAAGGAAACACGCATTTATAGAAAACTGTGTCTTATTTGTCATCGTCGTAAATAAAAAAAATTTTTTTTTCGTTATATTCTTTACAGAATCTACAAATTCCGATTATTCGGTCTGTTAAATTTTCCGCCACTGACGACAAAATTAATTTAAAAATAGTTCGTGACATCAATTTTTCACAAAAGTGATTAAATTTAAAGCGAGAAAAATTTTTATCCGAAATTAAATTTGTACTTTTTTTAAAAAATTTTATTTAATGTAAAATTTTATCTGATATAAACTTTTTTCAGAATTTCAGTTTTAATGAAGAAATTTTATTATAGATATAAGAAAATTTTATTAAAAAAAAAATTTTTATATGATTTTGGAAAGAGATAAAAAAGATGATATCTATAATGGAGAATAAAAATAGAAAGAATTTTTGAAATTATTCCACGAATCCGTGACAAAAGTAGGTGTGGGATGAATTTCATGAACAGGGAAACTATTTTTATAGTCCGCTACATTTCCTTCACAATTGTGTTAATCAAATTTTATGTTTAAAACGATGTATAGTCGACGACGCGACTAGTTTATAAACAAAAATGTGTAAATTTATTTTTACTACAAAATTGATAGACATGTGTCTCATAAAATGGTTATAAATAATTTTTCAATGTTAACTAATTTATTTCGTTTGTTTTTCAAATTTTTAACAAGAAACTTATTAATAGAACAAATATACATATATTTTCGCGATTCTATTCTAAATTGAAAATAATTAAAAAAAAAGTCTTAAGAATTTGAAAAAAGTTGCCATTACCTTTTTTTGAAACCCTCATAAATTAAATTATTTAATAAAAATAAAATTTACAAGCTAAACGTGTAGAAATAAAAAAATAAAAATTTATTATTTAAGAAAATATATTTTCTTTTTGTAAAATCAATATAATTTAAAAGTAATAATTAATTATAGGAACACAATTATAATAGAAAGTAGTTGACTATTCGATGGGAATCACAAGTAAACACTGTTGTAAAGAAGGTTAGGTATATTACGAACTCTGTTACAGGGATGAGCAGTTAACTTGAAATAATTCGATAGCAATATTAAGCTGAGTCCACAATAGACAAATATATCAATGTATAGCCTCTGAAAAGCTTACAATAAGGGTGCATTCATATCTCTGTTGGTAGAAGAAAGACAAAATCACGTTTACACTTAGCTGTAAAGGTGTTTCCACAATAGCTTGCAAATGTATTTTTTTTGTTTAATTTAATTAATTGCATATTCTGCATATAGCTTTACGATGATAATAATTATCGTATCAAAATAAATGATTTATTTTGATTTTACTAATTTAAAAAACGCCTATATGCAGAATGTGCAATTCATTGGGGTTTTGAATAAAAAAAATAAATTTGAGAACAATTTTTGTTATTTGCCTAAAAATAGAGGAAAACAGCAAGAAATGTTAATTTTTTGCTGTTTTCCTCTATTCTTAGGCAAATAACAAAAATTGTTCGTTTATCTTCAGGTGAACGAATGCATATTCTGAAAAATTAGATTTCTCTATTAATTTCCATCGATTCGGTCTAGTTTTAGACAAAGATTTGCCAACTGTTGAATTTTTATAAGTTACCATACGATGTGGGTAAGAATTCTATTTATCATTCTCGTGCAAAGAATTATCTCTCGGTTCCTGCAGACCAACAGTCGGCAAATAAGGTTCCTACAATCTTAGAGTAAACTCAGTTGGTACTTTACCACTAACGGTAAATTTAGTTCTTTAAAAAAAAATAGTAAATGTTTAGTAATTTAAAAACAAATTTTCGTTATAAACCAAAAGTTTATCTTACATTTTTAAGCACTTTGTTTCAAAAGTACCAAAAATACCAAAAATTAAAAATCTGAGCTTTCAGTATATTAATTTGTAATAAAGTGATTTCATCAAATAACTATTATAAACACCACGTGAGCGCATATAAATAAATTGACACATTTGAAATGTGATTCACGAAAATAAATGAGCGTGTGTGCCAGAATTCACTAAAAATATATAAACTTTAAATTGCAGTATCTTGACGAAAGAATATAATGTACGTTGGAAGTTTTAAAAGTTCATAGAATTCTTTTTTTTACTGACTATGTTATATAGGTATACTATGTATGATGGAAACGACGTGGAATTTTCATAAAATTCCAGTTTTCGCAGGTCATCAGCGCTTTGATACTGAAATCTTTATGTTAGGCATTTATAAGATTCTACGACTGAAAATAAACACACACGAAGACGATATACTTTATGAATTACATGAATTTTATAATCTATTTTTAATGCAGAGAGACTACTTTGAGGCGCGCAATGTAGGTATTACTATATCTCTATCTCTTTCTTCACTTTTCATTTTTCATCTATATGTCCCATTCTTTCGTCATTTTAAGAAATGTATGTGCCTGGGAAAAATATGAGCCGGAGAAATTTTTATAGGAATAAAAAATTTATTTTTTCAAATTAAATAATTACTTTTTTTTAATTATGAATAATTGTGATCGATATGGTCCAGTTAGTAGAATATGAACATGTATATTTTATCTGGTATCAATAAACAAATATAAAAATAAAAAAAAAAAAAAAAAAAAAAAAAAAAAATTTATAGCTTAGTGGAGGTAACCCTAACCGTCAATTTATAGCTTCTCGGCGTATTGGGGTTCGATCCCCATCAGATTTAGTCCTTTTTTACATAGTTTTAACTTTCTAAAACGAAAATATAATAATTTTCCTATTAAAATAAGTTATTATTTCATATTGTTACTAATTTACAATGGGTAAAGCTTAGATTTTAAAAATTTAGTTAATATTTTAATTTATACCAAAAGTTGTAATATTAAAATTCGTTGAAAAACAAAATGAGTTTATGTTCAAAATTGTCTTTTCTGTCTCAAAATAAGGAATATGACTCACGATACGTTCCAGAGGTAACAAACAGTATAGACTTACCAACCTAACTATAATGTGCGGTTTATTAAAAGTCCCTAAATAGAAACTTTTTTTCGACTTTTTAAAATTTTATAAATAAACTATAAATTTCTGCTTCATATGAAAAATTCAAAATATTTTTAATATGAAATATTAATTTTAATATGAAATTATTAATTTTCATGTGAAAAATTAAAAATATTGTGAATTTCTATATATATATATATGTACATTTAATGAAATTCAGAATATTTTTAATGTTTCATATGAAGGATAAATTTGTAAAAAAAAAATAGTGACCACTTTTAATTCATTTCAGCAACCACATACGTTAATAACCGCGAACAATTTAGTAATGCACCGTCGCATTTAGGCAAGAAGCCCAATTTTAACCGCTCGCCATAGTTGAATTTGTGCGATGAATAAATTTTCCAGGACAATTGTCAAAACCCTAAAATCAAGCATTAAGGTGAAATTTCTTCAAAAAAAAAATTATTTATCAAAAAAAAAAAAAAAAAAAATAATCATTTGGAACTAATTTTATTGATAAAATAGCAAAAATAATTTTGAGATAATATATTAAAAATTTAAGACTCAGATTAAATACTACTTCTACCTACTATATTCTTATCACTCTTTTGGTGATTGATGAGTAAAATTTTCTTGAACTGATTTTAACAATCGCGAGTGATGAATTTTGTGAGGAGCATCGTAATAAATCACAGTGACTCTTGGCAAATCGACGAGGAAGAAGACTTTACAACATTATTACATCTGTGACTCATTCAAGAGAGACGGGCAATTTTTTTTCTTTTGCTACAGAATACGCCGTGTGAATTAATTCAATTAGTGTCGGGACGCTGCTTAAGAATCTGAAATCAGATTTTTATTTTCAAAATTCAAAATGGACTTATTTTTTTTTAAGAATTAATTAAATTTACTTTGAAACGTGAGAATTTATCGTCAAAAATGCATAAGAAATTTTATGTTTTCAAAAACTGCATTCATATTCGTAATCAGCGACCCAAGAAACCCCCGAGTAACAAGTTTCGAGTAAATTCGATCAATTTTAAAAAATAAGTCCGCCATATTGGATCCGCCAT